TATCCCCATCGAGGAATTTCGGGTTATAAACATTTCGATAGATACACAATCCAATAATTATGAATCATAAAATTAAATGCAAATACGCTATGTACATGTTTCATATCATTATTTTATAAGTGATAAGCTGGAGGGGCTATTTAGCTCACATGGTCTTGTCGTTACATTAAATCATTTATCCAATCATTTAAATAAATAGACAGGAAGAAGCTGCGTTCGTAACAAGACCTTAAAAACTGAGGTCACGGTATAGGCGTTGTCACGATAAAGAACCCTCATTGCTCAATGGCCCTGAGTGGCGAGTATGTCTAAATTTGAAGCCCTTGACCGTCATACAACAAACAACAGGCAATCATTCAATCCATTTGTATTCAGGCCTCTATGTGATCTCTAAAATTTAGGCGCCAACTGGTTCCTAATAAAAAAAAATTAGTCGCCAATGCAAATTTTTAGTCGACAGTTAAATTTTTCTTAAGCACCAAGTTAAAAAACTTGTATTAGTCAATATATATATATATATATATATATATATATATATATAGACACGTCCATTGCTAACTTTTAAACTTCTTTTCTGCTCTTTAAAAAAAATTTGCAACCTTTATTATATACCCTTTGCAGAGGTTGTTTAAATTTTCTTTAGTGAACATCCTTTCATTAAAGATTTTTGGATTTTTCATTGAATTTTAATTTTAAAGAAATATGTGATGCTTCTTTATTCTGGGATTTTTCTCAAGAATATTTTTTCATGTTATGATTATTGATTTCAAAGACTTCTCTGTTTTTTTTTCCACAACTGTTTTTTCCTGTGTGCACTAGTCTTCTGTCTTTTGACATCTAATTTGAAAATCTCTTGTAAGCTGTGCTGAAATTACATTCAGAAATCTTTTTGTTATGTCCTTTTTTAAGTTCAAGCAATTCTTCCTGATATTTATCAATATCTTGTTATTCCTTAAATACTTCCTTCCAGAATTCTAAAACTCATTCATTAAGTCAGATTTTTTAATAAATATGTCCAAATAAACTTTCACCACGTTGCCATACATTAAGTGACCAGTTTCATTTTGTTTTCTCAATGTCTCTTCAAGAGCTGGATTCTGGGTACTCAGATTCCAAAACTTCAACAAACTGCGTCTATTTTAGAGTTGTAGACAGGACACAAATAAAATTTCTTGAACTTGCTGATGACCTTGGGTTATGGTCAATTAATACCCTCAGATCATTTGCAGAACTTGTGATAAGTTGTATTACAATATATGTACAGGGAAGGAATAAATTATTTTTCTACAAGCAACATTGATCTTTGTATCAAGTATGATACTTGACACAAAAACTACACTTTTTTGGCCAGTGACCTTGAACTGCTGTAATGAACTTGGATTATGCCAAAATACCCTCAGATCATATGCAACATTTGTGACAAATGAGCCTCTAATGTTCTCTATTACAAAATATGGTCAGGACAGGAATTAAACATTTTTCTACAAGAGATTTAATTTGATCAGATGACATTGGTCAAGTTTATGACACACCTTCAAATTATAACTTATATTTGCATGAAGTATTAATTTTCAACGTTTCTCATAAAGAATTTGTAAATTTGTTTTTTTTTTACCAGTGACCTTGAACTTGCCAGACTGTCCTTGTGTCAATATCAGGACAAACCACAAGATTATAAACAATCATATGGGCTTCCAATCATTCTTTTTACAACGGTATAACCCAGAAAAGATAGCACGGACAGACGGACAAGGTGATTCCCCAACCCCCCACCTCCAAAAAACTTCGTTGGGAGGTGTATAAAATGACAATTGTGCGTACAACACTTGATTTTTCTTATTGTGAAGAAGTGATCCCATGAAATTTAAGATATCATTTTTGACACCATCATCATTAAGTGTCTTACTGTAATAATGGTGGCGTGAAAAAGTGCAGTGAACAGTAAATAAGAGCACATATTGTTGCCAGCCATAATATGAACAAAACTACATTCTTACCTGTGAAAGTAAGTGCCGATGGAGTTGACTAATGTTATTCATACAAATTATAGATTTCACTGGTTTCAAACTGATGTGCCTACGGATTGCTTCGTCTATCTGATTAAGACAAAGGGCTGAGGGCGAGTGTGAATGGTCAACGTGGCATGCTTACTCACAATGTTCCACCTCTGATGTATCTCGGGGTCTGTGCCTGTCCTTCTCTCAGTTTTTATAGTTTTATTCGATTTGAGCTTGAACCACTTCTCGTTATCTGTACATTTCATGACCTTAAACTTTATCCAGTGTAATGAGACACCTATCGGTGATCAGCATCATCAAGTTTAAATTCATGTTAAGGGCTCAAAGGTTAAAGTCAAGATATCTATTCACTTTCCCTGCCTAGTGACCTTATCTTTGATCTTTGCACTAAACCATAGAAATACACTTACACATGTATGACTCATAGCAGTAAAACACCAAAGATTTAAGTACTTTTAAAAAAGATTTTAAAAAAAATCATCAATTCACTGATCTCGTGTTACAGTGACATGGAGCTTCGAAATGTAACCTTGAGTAAAGAACATTACACGTTAGAGTCGGTTAAAATCATTCAGATTATGAGTTCGAAAGTTATTACAAGGACACGACCTTTGACACAAAGACCAACGGATATACAAATATAAACCATGCTAAAAATAACATGTCTGCTTCTTTTTTGGAGACATCAAAGACTAAAAGCCCCTGGAGGATACAAAAATGTAACAAGAAGCATAGACACTACAGCATAAGGTCTAGATGTGCGGTTGAAAAAAGTAGGGTATCTTTTGACATAATTTGAACTCTCCTGGAGCAGGCTTTTATTAACTTTGTAAAAGGTAAATAATTATGTTGGAAATCTTGTTTGAAAGGAAGAGAGAAACAGAGATAAAACATTTCACAATACTTCTACCACCAGTCCAAGTAGGTAAAAATCAGATAATTTTCTTTAGTCCACTTGCAATTTATTTCACGGATATTCCCCATTGGAGATATTTTGAATGACATTCTCTGATTCACCAACGGGGTCACATGTTTTAATCATCACAAGTAATTGTTATTATTGAGTTATTATTCACTATCATTTCTATCCAATATAGTGATTTGCGCTAGGCGATAAATGTCTCCGTCTTGCTGAGGAAAATCTTTTACGGTCTTGTTTTTATCAATGATTGTTGTATTTTACCGATTTTTTGTCTATTATCTTTAAAGCTGTAGGGGATTCATTCATCACATTCGGAATTGCTTCAAAGGACCCTCCACAACTGGAGAAAGTACACATATTGGCGACAACTTTTTTTCGATAGTATCTATACAAAAAATAAAATATCATCCATATCAAATTTTAATTCAAAGCTGTTCTCTTCTATCAAAAGTAGACATTTATGTGCAAAAATTAACTAGTTTTTTTTCCCTCTGACTTCTTGCAATTGATATCAGATTCAGTCAGCCTTAGAACTACAAAGTTTATAATTCTGCCATTTCAAAATTACATTTCGAGAACTGGCAAGGCAGCGACTATAGTGCAAATATACAAATTGAGAGACACGAAGCTACCTTTGCACGGTGCTCAGCGATCATATGACTCGTCAAACATGGTTTCAGACCTCAGTTTACACAATTTTCTTCATACATGTATATCGCATTGAAAGACAATTGTCTATCTCGATTTATTGAACATGCATTAATAAGACTGAATGGGCACTGTTTCTTTTGTACAATCATCCTTTATTTTTACCTAGTATTTTGGGGGGAAGGGGGGTACGTTTCAACGCGTATTAGTAGTATGCTAGAATAAATGCCAAGACTGAGTCATATATACCCTCAATCTGCTGTTGAACTAAGGTGATCTTGTGTGGGTTTATTGGAACAAATTTGCCTTTAAAATTTCTTGGAAGGAAATGTATTTTGCAGATTTTATGTAACATTACAATTGCATCTTAGAGGAACTTGGATTTGATTATACAAGTGGTAATCCAACTTGTACTAAAAGTTCCCTTGAAAATGAAGACTCTTCTAAATCGTGTGCCAATTTTAAATATATTCTATAGTTCAACAATCAAATTGAATATAAATAGCCATACTTATACTGGATTCCTAAACTTCAGAAAAATCCTTACAAAGACATATACATAGCGGGTCCTATTAAATGTTCTACCGGGTCTTTCTTGACTCCCCCAGGAAAAATTTAACAGCAATTAAGAAGAAACCTTAGCAGTACTGTACATCAACATATTTGAAGAATGGTGATAATCAAAGGTGTAGATACTGAAAAACTCCAAAGACCTTTTAGAAAATTTGTAATTACAATTTTTTTCAAAATTAAAAGCATCAAAACGCATGATTTTCAACACTATACTTCAAATTCCTTGAGATACATGTAATGGACATTGGCAAGGCACGGTGTTCCGGAGAAAAAAATAATTTATAGTTTTTTATCACTTATTAAACAATCATTGAGAGTGATCTCTCGTGTAGAATTCTGTATGCTCTGAAAGCTATTAAAGTATATGTTACTGAGGTAAACAAGAAGCAAATGTGCTTCCTTCAACGGATAGATTCATCTCTACAGCAAGAAAAGAAAAGCATCATGGCTATGTTTAGAGGACAGGGTCAACAAATTGTTATTGATTCAACTATTCTGGGAAGGGCAAAGATTTGACAGATGCTGATCTCGAACAGTTGTCTACGTAGGTCACAGGGCCTTGCTTCCAGGGGCGTAGCTTCCATTGAGGCAATGAGGCAACTGCCTCACTAGATTTTTCAGCACCATTCAATTCCCATAATTAATAATACATTGTAGAAAATATTTAATTCTTTTTTTATCTAATGCATATTATTAAACATTCGAACAAATCTATAAACTGTTTTGCTTTAAATTGTTTTGCTTTCATATCAATATGTTCGGGATCAAAATTCATGAGATCGGGCTCTAGTTCCACTAAATCCTCAAAGTAGTTTTTGTGGGAAATTTAAAAAAAAAAAATGGACCAAAACAGAAACCAAAAGAAAAAGGGGCAAACAAAGTTGACATCCTTTCTGAGGAAAAGGAAAGAAGACAGTCTAGAATCGGCGTCAGGTAGGCCTATTTTACAAAACCTATAAACTAGTGAATAATTTTTTTATCCTTATAAACATAGTTTCAGAATTAACTAAGGCACTACAAACCTGCTTCCCATAAAAAAAACCCCACAAATTCTTCTATTACTAGTAATTCCCTATTTTTCACAAACAGATGAATATATTACGCCAACATTAGAACTTTCAAAGCCCGAGCAATATAACGAGAGAAAAAAACCCAAAACAGAGTCGATGGATCCAGTAAATTTTATACAGAAAGTTTTAGATGATGCTGAAAAATCAAAGATACTGTCAAGCAAATGGAGTCCTTCTCCACACGAAAAATATTCATTTCCTGTAACCAATGGCAGACGATACAATTTAACTTGGGAAGATAAATTCATTTGGTTAAGATATTCGCTATCGAAAGATGCAGCATTTTGTGCCCCATGCATTGCTTTTGGTCAGCAAAATCAATCGGACAAACTTGTAACGTCTGGTCTCAGAGACTGGAAAAATGCTACGGGTTCTAAAAGAGGTACTCTACAGATTCATGAGGAATCAAGTGCTCACCAAAACGCTCTTGTTAAGGCAGTGAACTTTATGAAAGTTTATTCGGGGGAAGAAAAAAGCATCAAAAGCAGTATATCTCAAAGTTATGAAGATACTGTTCTTAAAAACAGAGAAATATTGTCAAACATTATAAACGTAGTCATTGCTCTCGGTCAACGGAATATTCCGTTTAGAGGTCATCGTTGGGACACTATCACAAAACGGGAGGATGGTAATTTTGATTTCTTTGTTCACTGGTTGGCTAAAGAAAAACCCTTTCTTAAAGCTCACCTTGAAAATGCAGCTTACAATGCAAAATATCTTAGTCCCGACATTCAAAATGAAATAATTGAGTTAGCTGGAGAAGAAGTACTAAACTCAATATTGTCCCGTACAAGGACTGCCAAATGGTTTTCTGTTATGGCCGATGAATGTGCAGATGTAGCCAATATTGAACAAATGGCTATATGCATCAGGTATGTGGATGAAAACAATGAAGTAAACGAAGACTTCATTGGATATGCTCCTCTAGATTCAGTCGATGCAGCATCCCTAAGTAATGCAATTTTGCAAAAGCTTGAAGACTGTAATTTAGATACACAATACCTTAGAGGGCAGGGTTATGATGGGGCAAGCGTTATGTCTGGATCAAAATCTGGGGTCTGTTCTCGTATACGGGAAGTCCAACCGCTTGCTGAGTACCACCACTGTCGAGCACATGCACTGAATTTAGTTATATCTTCTTCATGCAAGAACATACCTATGGTCAGAAACCTCTTTGATGATGTTAATCAGCTGACATGGTTTCTTGGGGCCAGTCCAAAGAGAGTTTCGATTATGAAACGACATTTGCCAAATGCAAAACAAGTTGATTATTTAATTGGAAATATCGAAAATGAGGTAACCGAAAGTAATAAAAACAAACATAGAAAAATCGTTTTCTGTGAACATCTTGCCTAACCTTTGCGAAAATAGATGGTCTGCTAGAGTTGATACTCTTTCAGTTGTCATTGGAAAGTATGCAGCCATATTATCGACGCTCGAAGATGTCAGAAATGAAAGCACTGTATCCGATGCTCGTACGAAAGCCACTGCATTTATAAATATGATGGAGAAGAGTTCATTTATTGTTGCAATTGTTGTTGCACACCACATACTGAGTTATATGAAGCCTCTGACTTTGGCTCTCCAGAGTTCAAAATGTGATGTATACAAGGCCTTTGTTGACGCACAGAATTGCAAGCAAGTTATTAATGATCAGCGTTGTGAGGAAGTTTTTCAGAGATGTATATGGTCAAAAGCATCAGCCATTGCTGACAGTATTGGTATCGAGTTACAGAAACCAAGAACGGCGGGTCATATGCAACACAGAGCAAATGCTGTTCTTGCTGGCACTGCTGAAGAATACTACAGAATAAATACTTACCTGCCATTTGTTGATCATTGTTTGAAGGAACTCAACGACAGATTTTCTGACGAGACACGTCCTTCATTCCTAGCCTTCAAGCTTCTTCCAGGCCAGATAGACACACTTACCCGAGACGAATTGGCAGATATTATAGAAAGGTTCCAAGATGATTTACCGGACAGAGATGTGTTTAATCAAGAATTCGAACGTTGGAAAGTGTTCTGTGGAAACTTGCCGAATGATGGTTTTGAAAGAAATTCCTTAAGCAATGCAATCATGTTAGCTGACTCGGACTTTTACCCAAATTTGCATGTCATTTTCCGTATTTTGCTCACCATGCCAGTTGGATCTGTGCCTTGCGAAAGATCTTTTTCCGCAATGAGACGTCTGAAACACTGGGGGAGATCAACAATGAATGAGGATCGCCTGGTCGGTCTTGCCTTGCTGTTCATTCACAGACACCAGGCAGTTTCTGTTCGCAATATACTTACTAGATTTGCCGAATCCAAACAACGCAGAATTCAATTGAAGTTTTAAATTAAAAAAAAAATAATAATAAAATATGAATTCATCTTGAAGTTATGCCCAAGGTTAAAGTTTTCCAAAAGAATGTCAAGGTCAATGGGATATAATTGTTTGAATACAAAAAAGGTCTTGTCACATGGATTACATATGTGAAGTATGAAAGCCCTAGCACCAACCGTTCAAAAGTTATGACCAAGTTAGTTTTTCAAAAGTAGGTCAAACTCCTAGGTCAAGATCAAGATTGTTGGTATCCAAAGGAAGGTCTTGTCACAAGGGTTACACATAAGAAGTAGAAGTTTAAGTGAGGAAGGGGTTGAAGATGCGTCCTCCCTTGTATAGTTATATAGTAGTTGGTAAATGAAATTTTTAAAATAATTTTTTACCCCTGAGCAAGCCACTGTTCTCTTGGTCGGATGATTGATTGATTATTGTTGTTTTACTCCGAGTCGGCAATATTTCAACCATATTTCAGCGGTATAAATTTAAATATTCTATGAACGGTTTTGGGGTTTCTCTGGCGGTCCCTTATGAATATACTCTTTTTCGAAAACCAAAGAAACGATCTTTAGCGTGCCAAGGAGGTTGCAATCCTTCACAAGGGGCACCAGATAATGTCCTATACGACGGACTTGTCGGGTGAAGGAAGAACATGTAGTAACTTCGAACAAATCCACACAAAAAAAAAAACCCAGAAACATGCCAATTTTTTCTTATTTCCAATTTACAGTAAAGGATATAATGGAAACAGCCAACCAGTTGTAATTTTTCTTTATTTACCTTCATGAATAATTAAAGATACGAAGGGAAGCAACTCCAAAATAAAGTGCAGATATGATTGATTGTATGTTGTTTTACGTCCCGGACGTTCGAGAATTTTTCACTCATATAGAGACGTCACCATATACCGGTGAAGGGCTTCAAATTAAGACCTTTACTCGGCACTCAGGGCCATTGAGCATTGAGGGTTCTTTATCGTGCCAACGCCTACCGTGACACGGGGCCTCGGTCTTTAAGGTCTCATCCGGGGCCTCGGTTTTTAAGGTCTCATCCGAGGCCTCGGTTTTTAAGGTTTTATCCGAAGGACCCGCAACTTTCACTTCAAAGTGCGGGGCGCTTGACGAAGGAACAGTTGCTACCTATTTTTTATCGACTTAGGTCAGTCGCGACCGTGATTCGAACACACGACCTTCCGATCACAGAGCGAGCGCTCTGCCGACTGAGCTTCCGTGACGGCTAGGTGCCGATATGTGTCTACTATTATTTGCATTTTCATAAAATTTTTTTTTTAGATAACATGGAAAATGAGGACACAATAATATGCATGATACAAGATCCATATGAAATAAAAGGGTTTTGGATAAATCTTATGTGATAATTATGAAAGCCCTTTTATCAACATTTTATAGTTTGTATGTTTATTGTTTAACGTCCCTCTCGAGAATTTTTTAACTCATATGGAGACGCCACCACTTGCCGGTGGAGAGCTGCAAATTTTTGACCAATACGCTGCAATTAGGGCCATTAAGCAGTGAGGGATCTTTTCGTGCCAACACCTACTGCGACACGGCACCTCGGTTTTTACGGTCTCATCCGAAGGACCGGTCACCATGTCCCACAGTGGGACTCGAACCCGCGACGTAAGGATCAACTCATTACTCCGCGACTCTAGAGCAAACGTTCTAACCACTGCGCCACGCGGGCGACTCAACATTTTATAGAAAATGCATTGAGAATCGTAAAAAAGACATTGATACGACAAATCTAAAAGGAAAAGGTTAAATATACCAGAAAAGAACATGTTAAGTACCATAACTTCTGCTTTTTCAACAAAATGAAACTCCTAGATTTTTATATCTTGTGATAGGTTATTTACAAAATTGTTTCATTAACAATCATTCTGAATCTACACATAAGTACTCTGAAGTACATGTATTTATTAAAAAGATGCTGGAGTCCCTCACTGACAAAAATTTATGTAGTCCTTGGAGACCAGGTCTTCCAACAATCTGTCGGAAATTCTATGTGAAGTAACGTTGTCCTTTGTTAGTCGACCTGTTTTTGCATTTTTATTCAAAAATCTACATGAAAAGAAGTATTATAATTGAAGAAGTGTATTAAATTTGGTATTAAGATATCTCGACCATTTTTAGCTATTTACAACAATAATTTTTATTTCTACTTTTATTTTTATATTTCACTGATTTCGAAATAAAGACACCACACAGTCTGACACATCTGTACCAATGCTCATGAAATATCTAATAACAAAAGATCTTAAATAAATCAAATATTTAGAATTGCCTATTATTCCTGATTATAAAACACAAAAGTTTTAAATTCATCTTGAAAATTGAAAAAGAGGGCATCTTTTACATGGGTACCCTAAAAAAAATTTTTTTTTCATTTGTATTTAGGTTTTAGTGAAAAGTGACCCTTTAAACATTTGAATAATTTTCAAGATATTTTGGTTGATATATACAGTTAATATTGCTCAGGAATGACTAAAAAAAAAGAAAAATAAAGAAACAGAAAGGGGTTTAAATATTATAGGAAGTGTATATTAAGGATTAAAGACACCCACCCCATGAATTTTAACGCACATTTTCTCTCATTAATGTGTGTATGAAAGTATACTTGAGGATATTTATTCATCTTTATTATCTACTGACTATGTTGAACATAAAATAAGAATATAAAACATAGATTTAAAACCAACAAGATATCTCACCATTAATTTTTTGTTCCTGCATTTCACAAACCATAAACATTCATAAGATCATGGAAATTATCAACCTGAAAAATGAGCAAATACAGAATGGTGTTATATATATATATATATATATATATATATATATATATATATATATATATATATATATGAGATTGAAATGTTTTAGTGAATATTTTAACAATCAGAGGCAATCTACTAGCATCAATGTGATTTGTTTTAGTCTCAAAAATTACTAAAATATATCTTAAAAATATAATTATTTTAACATGGTATTAAAAAGAGAAATACAGAACCACATGCAAAAAGTGAATATTCTGAAGAGGTTACCACTCAAGATTAATATAACATTTCAATCTGCTGAAGGAAGAAAAAACATTAACAAAGAGAAATGAAAATTGTTACTGCTTGTTCCAATAAAAATATTGGCTGTTACTATCTGTAACACGTAGCGTCAAATTGTTGTTACTTTCTGTAACAGATAACATTAAACTGGTTTGTTTTGTACTTACTGATAATATGTACAAATGTGTTGCACTGAAACATTTTAAAGAAACCAACAGGAAGGGGCAATACAAAATTATTTACATATTTGTACATGAATAAAGAGAATAATAATATGAGAAAATAATATATTGTCATTCAGACTCATTCAACTTTTATCCTAAGATCTCCAGATGCATAGTCATCATACAACTTGTATGTGTAGATAGCTTCGTCACCATGACATTGAACCATTGAGGAAATCCTGGAACAGCTTAGAAAACCCGACCAACAAATACTCCATTTCTGTGCACAGACAGGGGACGTCTATCTTCATCCTGATGTTCCGGAGGGGAGTATTGTGAGAAGCTACTACAAGAGTCTTCAATTTACTGGAAAGCTGTTGTGCAGAACACTTATTTTTCCCATCCAACACATAATATCCTATTCTGGAAAAGGTTGTTTCAACACCTATTTTCTGAATTTCCGCTGATCCGCTGAGCTTTTAGAGCTGTCTTTTTCTCTTTGTCAGATGTTATTTCAGACAGAAATGTCAACGTCTTCCAATAATAACAGATTTAAGACTTAAGCTTTTTTTTTCAGTGCACATTGCTAGCAACTTTTTCTTTGATGAGTCGTTCCTTTCTTCTGGATTTGTTGAATTTATTTTTACCTCTCTGAGAACTTTTCATACAACAATCTTCGTTGATCCAGGGAGTTTTTCATAACTGTATCTCTCTCAGTTTCACTAAGTCCAATCAACCAGTCTGCTGTTTTGTTGGATCCAAGAACCAAATTGTTTGCCTGAGGTTGTTAGGCCGAATCAACCGTTTGGTTCGAAGAGTCAACAAAACGCATGATATCCTCGAACCCAGTCAATAAATTTTTGTTATACCTTTTATTCTGATTTTTTTTTTTGGACATACCCGATACATGTTTCTTGTGCTGGATTCCATGATGAATCAAACTCGGTCAATTCTGTCACTGTCGAACACCAACGAATGCATATAAAATTTAGCTGATCCCGCCCACAGTGTGACATAAGCGGTCCAATATCTCATCAACAAGTCCAATACATCACTCTGCGGTCAAACATCGGTTTTTTTTTATGACAGTTCAGAAAAACATATAACTTATTAGACTTTTTTAAATAAACATTTATATAGGAACCAGTTTTTAAAGGTATAACAATATCCTTTCATGTAAATAAGTTGAATCTGATTCGTCGATAAACATTTAATTAAAAAACACTATAACCCTCTGAATGATGAAACCAAGCCTCCAGCGTGATAGAACATAGCAACAGTCAACATCATTTGACGACGGGTGATATTTGAAAGAAAAAAAAAAGCTCACTGCGCAATTTATGGGTGTTTTTGATTCAAAGTCCTGAACGTTCCGGACACAATTCTATCGAATCAAGTCATATCGAACTATGTTCGGGACAAAGTTCTGTCTGCACCAGGTCTCGATGTGGTGGACGCAGGACAGTAACATTTCCAAGATGGCGAATAACGAAAGATTCTATGACCCGGCTTGGGAATGAAAAAAGATTTTTTCAATGCAACGATTGCGAATTATTGTTTGATCATGTGGAAGAGTTTATTCGGCATCCCTGTCGATTAGGTAAGCTACTTTTTAATTAGGGCCCCGCTCTGCTGGCGCCCTGTAGTGATCAGTCTGTCCGTCCATCCGTCCTTCCGAGATCTCTTGTCCGGAGAATATCTTCTCTCTCCTTGGCTCAATCTGGCTCATACTTCACCCACAGAGTGTCTTTGGGTAAAGGGTGTGCAATGACCTT